AGATCCGCCAGATTGTCGTACTTCTCCCTCTCGCGGGCCGTCCGATACAAACGCATCTCTTCGTACAATTCGCTCGACATCTGTGGTGTGGACACAAGAAGTGATCAAATGATCAATTGGTTCACAATAACAACAGTAATGACAACCGATTGCCACCTATAGTGCAATCGCTGCCCCTTCAGTGCCACTCAACCACACATTGCACGACATCTCATGCCTTCGCCACAAGTTATGCTCTTTTAGTGAATCGCTTTGTATTGCATTTTAGTTACTATTACTGGTAGTTATGCGAACTATTATTGCCACGAACATACAATTAGTTCACTATTACAGTCATACTCGTAGTGTCCAGGACAATTACAATTACTAAATCGCACTCAATCACTATAACTGTGACCAAGTCTACCGTTATTACCATACTTTTAATTTAAAGGCTTTGAAAACCTCATATAACTATAACCGGTCTAAACATAAATCATCGAAATATAGATAATATTTCATTAGTAATACAAATAATGAAGAGACAACCAAACGTTTAATTAAACATTTTGTATTAATTTTATTTCATAATGAATGACAAATAAAGACAACATTTTATTGATCAGAAGTTCCTAAAAAACAAAAAACAAATTAATTATAAATAAATGAATGGATCTAATGGTGACAAACTTGGGTAAAATGCTGTCCTTCTTCGCCAATCTATTGATACAGTCATCGGATTCGCCCTATAATTCAATCAACAGTTCATATCATTAATTGGTCCCAAATGGCAATTAAGATCATAAGACAAACCATTCTTCGGAGGGCACCACAGATGGCATAAGCCGTGTGGTTGGAAGTGACTCTTCCGGTCGACTCATCCACTTCTGCCAAATTGATTTGAATGGACGCGTGGTCTTTGGCGTGAATGTCGAAGACAGACAACAATAACAACAACATTACAATTGCTGTGAACAGAGATCTGCTTATGTGTTGCTAACAACTATCGGATCAATATTATGACGTTGCTATACGAGTACAGCACCACAACCTCCAGTACCCATTGGGTCACTCGAGTCGCCGATTAATAGTCATATAATTGTTTTAACATTAGTTTTCTCCTACTGTTAACATCATATCCTTATTTCCTACACTTGTATTCATCACACCATCCAATTAGTTATATCTCATATCTATTCAATTTAATATTTCATAAGTGCTCAACGATTATATCTAGAATTTAGTCCTACAATCAGTTTAATTTGTTTCAATTTCAAATAATCAATATATAACATGCATTGTATACTAGCACTGTATACTAGGAACATATNAGAATTTAGTCCTACAATCAGTTTAATTTGTTTCAATTTCAAATAATCAATATATAACATGCATTGTATACTAGCACTGTATACTAGGAACATATTAAATATATATTATACATAACTTACAATACATTAATAATTTTAATAATTCACGTTATGATTTTTTAATTAAATGAGAATATAAGTATATAATGATATTCTACAAAACTAGAATAATATAAACTTCAAATATGTCATACAGTACACAGTACTGTATGACAAACATACAGATATATCATTCTAACAAAATTAATTTTTGTTAATATATTTGTAGAATCTAATAAGGATTCATGTGATGTAATGATTCTTATGTAGAGTTAAATATATAACAAATTGATTGCATTTATTTATGAACAAATTAAATTGTTGTCACAATTGTTTTAAATTCAATTACGGCAATGACTATGAAAAGAAGAGTTGAATACTTTTTGCATGGCTTTGCTTTTGTTTGAGAATAAATTTGAATAAAAGTTCTTTGAATGTCTGTCTAAACATTAAGTATTTCTTTCAAAAGATGTGACAAAAACTAAAATTCTCGCACAAAGGCTCACATTTTGTCTTTTGTGTTGAGAATAATGAAATCAAATGATTGCTAACAAACTTTTAAAAAGTTTTCACACTTCTTATGTTAATTAAAAAATGGCCAAATAATGAGTAATTATTTATCAATTTCCGACAAATTGATATTTTTTAGCAAAAAACAAAGTTAATAAACTATGAGAGAAAAGTTCAATGACTCCAAACTTATTTCAAATCCGATCAATTATAATTTAATAAATATGTCACTAATAATATACTATTATATTATTTATGGCTCAATTGAGTTCATAATATAATAGTTAGTAATTCTTTTTTCAATATTTACAATATAATCTATTTATTTATTATGAAACATTTTCAAATATCAATTAACAAAATTTGAACATAAGTATTACACTGTATAATTTAATAAATAAATTTAAACATTTTGAAATAAAATATTCTATATTAATCTCTAGGATTAATCAATTACCATGAATAGACTTAAATTATGCATACTCTACATTTATCAATTCTATACAAGAATTTCAATTCGTGTGATTTATGAGTAACTGTCTCATTTTTCAATATATTATTTTTGGGTTGAATATATAAATACAATCAGTAAATTATCAAAATTGTACATTTTGGACAACATTGCCACAAATGATAATATTATGAACAAATGATCGATTTTTGTTATCATAAATACTACAAATGTGTTCATAATGTTGAAAATGTAATGATTGTAAGGTTTGTAGTGAATTCATTGATCAGCAATTTATAGCTTTTGGACGTTTGACAAGAATTCAAGCACTCATTCATTCATACATTCGTTACTATTATTGTGTGTTAATTAAATTCATAAATTGACTATTTATATATAAAAATAGCAAAACAAAAGATAAGTTAAAAACATGTGAAACACATTTGACACGAGTTTGGGATTAATTTGTCATTAAATACACAGATATTTGAACACAACATAAATGCACAGAATTTGAGGCAAAACTCACGTTTTGATGATAAGTGAGTGGAAATGGATTTCAAATCTCCATTAATGGCTAATTGGATGACCGGATGATCTAATGAATGATTCCTATATGAATATTATTGGTTGTGATTAACCATCGATTGAATAAATGGAAGAATAATTGAGTTGTTTAGACATAAATCTCATAATAATCGAGAGGTGGAGAGCATATCAACAAAATAAGCCATCATTTGATTGAATTACAAGAATTAGTTCACAATCGGAGAATTTGTCGGTTGAATACAAAGCCATCTGATTATGAGAAAGACATTTGTTTCAGTGAATAATGAGTCCAATGAATGGATTGTCTTATTATTGAGAGTAAGAGCAACAGAATCCAGGAGTCAATCCTATAGTCATATCATAGACTCTATACGTGTTTATCATATCATTATAACTCCAATCCATACAAAGCTTTGCAAACAAAACCACAAATTCTTGTCAACTATATATTCAAACATCAATTCTTGAGTGAAATGTGGACTCAGACTAAGACATGATTACATCCACACATCCATTACAACACATATTCATGGGTTGGCTATCATTGAGACGGTCTTGTCATCAGAATTGAGTGCATTTTCCATACAATAAGTCAACCATTGATTCAATTCTTCACTACATCTCAGCACTGAATCCACAGAATCCATGAAAATACACATTCACTGCAAACACACGTTATTTATGGCACCACTTAGTGCTCACATCCCTGTGCTCTCACATCCCTTTCCGTTTCAGTCACACAACTAATTGCAATCAAATCATTGTTTGCATCCATTTGTGTCCATTTCTCAAGATTACGGCCACGAGTGACACTCCATAGCCATGCAGGACGACCAGGGTGAGACTGTCGACCTATACATCCCCAGGAAATGGTATGTCTGCCACATGTTTGCCATTCAATGATATCGTACTAATGGTGTGAATTGTGGATCAGTTCGGCGTCCAATCGGATCATTCACGCCAAAGACCACGCGTCCATTCAAATCAATTTGGCAGAAGTGGATGAGTCGACCGGAAGAGTCACTTCCAACCACACGGCTTATGCCATCTGTGGTGCCCTCCGAAGAATGGTTTGTCTTTCATTCACGCCAAAGACCACGCGTCCATTCAAATCAATTTGGCAGAAGTGGATGAGTCGACCGGAAGAGTCACTTCCAACCACACGGCTTATGCCATCTGTGGTGCCCTCCGAAGAATGGTTTGTCTTGTGATCTTAATTGCCATTTGTGACCAATTAATGATATGAACTGTTAATTGAATTATAGGGCGAATCCGATGACTGTATCAATAGATTGGCGAAGAAGGACAGCATTTTACCCAAGTTTGTCACCATTAGATCCATTCATTGACTTATAATTAATTAGTTATTGTTTTTGTTTTTTTAGGAACTTCTGATCAATAAAATGTTGTCTTTATTTGTCATTCATTATGAAATAAAATTAATAAAAAATGTTTAATTAAACCGTTTGGTTGTCTCTTCATTATTTGTATTACTAATGAAATATTGTCTATATTTCGATGATCTATGTTTAAACCCGTTATAGTTATGAGGTTTTCAAAGCCTTTAAATTAAAAGTATGGTAATAACGGTAGACTTGGTCACAGTTATAGTGATTGAGTCCGATTTAGTAATTGTCCTGGACACTACAAATATGATAGTCAACTAATTGTATGAAAGTGCTAATTGTGAGCATAACTAACACTTAGTCTAACAGTAATATTAATATTAATAGTAAAATGCAATACAAAGCGATTGACTAAAAGAGCATAACTTGTGGTGAAGGCGTGAGATGTCGTGCAATGCGTGGTTGAGTGGCACTAAAGGGGCAGTGATTGCACTATAGGTGGCAATCGGTTGTCATTACTGTTGTTGTTGTGAACCAATTGATCATTTGATCACTTCTTGTGTCCACACCACAGATGTCGAGCGAATTGTACGAAGAGATGCGTTTGTATCGGACGGCCCGCGAGAGGGAGAAGTACGACAATCTGGCGGATCTGTACGCTGTGGTGAACAGTCTTCAGTGTCTGGAGAAGGCGTACATCAAGGATAGTGTGACGGCCAAGGAGTACACCGGCGCCTGTAGTAAGCTATTGGTCCAATACAGGGCTGCCTTCAAACAGGTCCAGTCGCCAGACCTGCCGGACATCGAGACCTTCCTCCACAAGTATCGGTTGGACTGTCCGGCGGCTATGGAGCGCATCAAAGAGGACCGTCCCATCACTATCCGGGACGACAAGGGGAACACCAGTAAATGCATCGCTGACATCGTCTCGCTCTTCATCACCATTATCGACAAACTCAGACTCGAGATCAAGTCCATGGATGAGGTGCACTGTCACACACGCAGAGCCCTATTTAGCCATTCAATTGCTTATAACTAAAGTATTTTTCATTTGATCCACAGCTTCAGCCGGACTTAAGAGAACTGTACGACACTATGAATCGCTTGACTTTAGTCCCGTCCAGCTTTGAGGGCAAAGCCAAAGTGAATGAGTGGTTGACGACAATGGCATCGATGGCCGCCAGCGATGAGCTCAATGAGACACAAGTCAGACAATTGATCTTTGATTTGGAGTCTTCTTATAATGCATTCAATAAATTACTTCACGAGTCATAGACTTACGATTAGATTCATTGTGTATGATGGCCGCCAGCGATGAGCTCAATGAGACACAAGTCAGACAATTGATCTTTGATTTGGAGTCTTCTTATAATGCATTCAATAAATTACTTCACGAGTCATAGACTTACGATTAGATTCATTGTGTACTCACTTATGATTGTATTATACTTGATATCTAGTAATAATAAATTTGCAAATATTTTTTATTAAAACTAATAGAAATCCAATCAATTATTTGTGAACTTAAATTTCAAAGTTTAATGACAATCAAGTTACAGTATTTGAGTCATCATACCGTACATTATCTTAAGATCTTATCAGTGATTAAATATCATATATTTGAGTGAAAATCAAAACAAAAAGACAAAAATGAAAATCAATTGGAAATATAAATAATATCATCAGACAATTGGTGGCCTCAATTGGTCCACTCATTGATGTTTTTAATGAGTTGTTTGGAGTGTTTGATGGCATCGACAGGAGTGAAGTTAAAGGCAACGGATTTGACACGACTTTCATCCATATAGTGCTCTATTTTGGAGCCAATTCTGAACACATATTGTTTGAACTCCGCGACCGTCAAAGCTTTGAGGAACTCCTGCGGATTATTCTCTTGCAATTCACTCAACTCTTTGGCAGAAATGCCTAAAATCTTTTCCGCCTGTTCTTGGAATATAGTGACCCAACCCTCGCCCGTGCAGTCACTTATAGCCACCGACAGAATGAGTCTCCACTCGAACTGCGATGAGTCGGTCTGGCATTTGTCGCAGTGATAGAAACCATTGTTATTGTCCCTAACCTTCTTGAGGCACCCGTTCTGACCGCAAGCCTTATACAGAGGCTGTCGTCCCGTCTGTACAACTCTGGCCCTGACGTTGAAATAGGTTCGGTTGTCGTTACCAACAGTTTGTTCGTTGATTTGCGACAAAAACTTCCATTCAGTGTCTCTGTTCCCTTCGGAACCGCTTTTACTCAACGAATTGGTGGTAACGCTGTTTCCCTCCCTTTCGTACCACTCTATACACCAATCAAAGTGAATATGATTTACAAAGCAATTCACAAAACATTTCAAATAAAAACCTTTAAGAATATTGGTTTCAGGGATATCGGGATCCAATTGGAAGGTAGTGTTGGAAACGGCAGACAGAGTGCGACCATTGAAGTCGCCGACCAAAGCGTTTTTCACAGCAATCACGCGATTGGGTTCGCAATCAAACTGTTTGTTTCAGGGATATCGGGATCCAATTGGAAGGTAGTGTTGGAAACGGCAGACAGAGTGCGACCATTGAAGTCGCCGACCAAAGCGTTTTTCACAGCAATCACGCGATTGGGTTCGCAATCAAACTGTTCCGCGCCTTCATTCCAGAGAGTGAACCGAACCTCATATGACGTGTTGTCCACTAAAATGATGTCTCGTTTCTTGAGCTCTTTGTTGGTCTTCTTAGAGGTGAAGGCATTGCACTCCTCGACACTCTTGACGATAGCAATCAAGTCGACACACGACTGGAGGCCAACTGCGGGCAAGTCCTTGATCTGCACGAATCGATAGCGCATTTTCGGCACTTCCATCACTTCCATCTCAGAGCACTCCTCCACCAAAGAGTCACTGTTTAGAGTAATCTCGTAATCGTTGACCAGATTCGAGAACTTCTTGTTGGCGGTCTTAACGGTTCCTTTGGTGATGTAATAGACTTTATTGGTTTCAATCATATCGTAAAACTTTTCGCACTCTTTGGTGAAGGCATTGACGCGAATCTCCGTCGAGTCGTCCATACAGTCAAACGAGAAGACAGATCCCTCGCCCTTAGCATTACTCCAATGCCTTTTGTTGGACTTCGAGGTCACCCGCGCTTTGATCCGCCACGCGTTGAAGTACGGAGTGATCGCAGATATGGGACAAACATTCTGCTGATTGGCTGCTCTGCTGGCCATCGATGACGGGGTGGTCGTCACGACCGACACATTGGCTTCGATGCGATTGGCGTTTGTATTGAGACTGACATTCGTGAGGAGAGGGCCGTTGGACTCGCTTTTGTCGAGTCGGCGACCGATCTTCGAGCCAGACATCACGACAGACATGTCCGACACTATGATTATCTGTGCGTCAAATACAAGACAATCAATGAGTCCATTACACCCGCAATGGTGTGCTCGTGAGACAAACCTGTCTTTCCATCTGTTTGTTGATATTGAGGGTATAGGCCGTGAGCTCAACGACTGTGAACTTCTCGAATTCTCCTCTGGATATGCGTTGAATGAGTTCCGGAAGAATGACAATGAAATTACTGCAGACTTCTGTGCCGTCAGTCATTTGGAAGCGATATTTGATTGGTTCTGATTGTGTCATCTGTTTGTAGACAAGGATCTGAAGCACCGGTCGATCCACCCGCTGGTCGGCCAACATCTGCGAGAGAGACCCATCGCTTAGCTTCGGAAGAATGGCTGACATATTGACACCAATTGACACTCAAATCAAATGAAATGTGAATTGAATTGAGTTTTGCAGTACAAGTCAAACGAAATAAAAGCGCAAAACATTGCAATGTATTGTGTTTTGAGCGCCAATTACTGCCACCAAAAAGGCATAACTCAGCCCTATATAGGCTATGCTATAAGTCCTTCACACTATTTGCAAATGTGGTGCTTAAAACGGTGCATCAAATCTGTAAATTATGTACCTTTTTATTACACATGTCTATATGTGTTTATATAGACATTATATGTGCATAAAAAGTATCAAATGACGAGTGAAGATAACCATTGAGTGTTTGAAAGGAGTGATGTAATCAGAAAACAGAGATTTCGTAAAAATAAATACATTTTTGTGACAAAACTGATGAAACGAAACGCCTTTTCATTCATTTATTGATTCATTAATTAGTCTTTTAATTGATTATCATTTGAATCGATCGCCAAATGTCTGCAGATATCAAAGAGTTATCCCAACAACAGGTGTCTCTGGAGAAAGCGGTTCCACTGAAGAGCAATCGTTTGGTTACTTTCGTCAATCACTTCATCATATCGATTGTCCATCACTTGAATGAATTGACGGCAACCGTCGACTCAAGACTTTATGATCTCAACCAACAGATCCTCAGATGTAATGCAAATCTCGTGATTCTTGAGATGAAACTCAACTCAATTGCAGGCCTTTCATCGGTGGCCACCACTGCTGTGGTGAACACCACTTCAGATGTCCAACAAGTGAGTGACATCTCAATACCAGAGCCGACGGCAAAGTCGGACACAAATGAAGCGGAAGAAGACATGAAGAGTGAGACAACGAATGACACGAATGAAGGACCAGTTGATGGCACGGATGAGACACAGATAGAGAGCGACCCCTCGGTTGAAAAGTACAGGAAAATGGTTCGCCTGGGAATCCCTTTGGCGGCCGTCCACCAGAAGATGCGTCTCGCAGGGGACGACCCCTCTCTTCTCACCTCTTAGACCCTCACCACTGATGGCAACACACCATCGCATGGCTGTCCGCACAACCCCTTCATTGCAGTCAATCTTATGTACAGTACTTCAGTGCAGATTGTCTTCATTGAGATTCAGTTGTTGTAATCGTTGTATAAATTGAATGAATGAATGAATGATTAAAACCAATAAAACATAATATAATAAATAATTTATAAAATAAACATAAGTTTTGCTCAATTAATGATGGGATGAAGTAATGATGTGTTCGTGTGTAGTGAGTGGTAGTGAAGGGCATGTCATGTCTGGATGAATGCAAAAGTGAGTGAAGCCTCGGAATAGTCTGAATTGAGTTATGGTTGTTTAGGTGAACCACTTCGCACATTGAGCTAATAGTGCTGTCCGTCGGACACCGTTTCACCACAACTGATGCCATAGA